ATTTTATGATTCAAATAAATGCGTTTTTCAAGCAAAAAAAAACGGACCGAATTAAGTTGTATACCCAATAGCACAATTTAAGGGTGCGATAGAAGGGTTCAAATTTGAAAAGGGAAATTCAATTAATTCTACGCGTACAATGTAAAATGGTTTGGGGTGTAAGTATGATTTTAATGGTCAGCGTGTCAGATAATTAGAACGTTCCAAAAATTATGTCGTTTGGTCTCTTTTTTGGCTCGAAATCTTCAGTTTTACCACCTTGTTTAAGAAAAACGAAATCATTAGATAAACTCAGTTTACCCTTTATGTCTTTGAACGATGTAGTGTGTTGCCTATATTTATTATTATACTTTATTTTCTAACTTTAAAAAAAGCACACAATCCGACAACTTAATTTTTCGTTTACACCTATAATTAAAGGGATGCTACAACGGAATAGATACCGTTGAACAATGTTTCAATAAAAATATTAAATTGAAACTATGGTCTATATCATAAAAAATAGATTTTTCTCTCCAATTAGGAAACTTGAAATTTACCAGTACACTAGAACTATTGCTCTTCACATTTTGTTATTCGTTAAAATAACATTATTATCGTAGTTAAATAATCCTTATGATGATCAATAATTTGGTGTCGACAGTGCCCCTTCGCTGTTCCCATAAAATTAAAAAAAACTGTTCCTTGAAAAACTGAAGCATTCAACTTAATCTTGAGCTGCGGACTTGGATGTTACAGATATAAAGGCGCAATGAAGAATGCAAAAATACGATAGTTTTACCGCTATGAGTCTCGAGAAGTTTAGCAAATATTATTCTAAGAATGATCTCATCACTTATGATGCCATTACTTTCAAAACAGATATTCATAAAAATAGTGTTTTTCCACGTAAAACGATGCCAAATGACTTTCATAATGCTCCTTATGAAAAGGAAATATTTAGTGGATATCTACCTTATGCGTTCATATGAATATATGCTAAAAGATCCTAAAATATTAGTTTTTAGCACTTACGGCCACTACGTAGATCGGCCCGGTGGCTCGTACATATACTCCAGTAGGTGTTCCTGCGATAAGATAATCATCATGGCCAAATGGTCCGATTGACAACTTTTCCTCGTCAAAGTACACATCGGTATTTTCGTTCTATACAAAAATTCCTTCTTTAAAAGGTTTCGTTTTAGTAAAGAAAAACCTCCAACACACCTCAAAAAGGACCATGAACTCTCCAAAATCTTCTGGCAGATACTTGTAAAAAGCAGCTTCTTTACCCCAGTTGGATGATGGCGCTAACATGAGTGCCTGGAAAAAAA